CTCGTCCCTCCCCTGTACTTTAATGCCCCCCCTTAATGTTCCTATCTCTCCCCCCTAATATCTCCCCCTGTCCCACAGTGTTCTTTCTCTTACCCCTTCCCTGTCCCATAATGTTCTTTCTCTCACCCCTCCCCGTAAGCGATACTAATCACGCTGGGCTGGGGCCCCTGAGTGCTCTGGGCACCAGACTCTGTAGGGGGCCAATAACCAGGCAGCAAGTTAGGCTCAGCAGAATCAGTGGCAGAACTCCCAGCGCTGGGCCCAACTAGCGCTCTGGGCCCCGGTGCAGCCGGCACGGTAGTTCCACCACTGAGTGTCTGGAGTTCCCTGGTGCTATCATTTCATTCAGCAGTAAATGGTTTTTAATGTTTTAATGCTAAAGGTGAGTCCCCAATAGGCCATCCCCTCTGTGCTGCTTTGGCTAATGAGAAGTATTAGCCTGAGAAGCAATGGGCAGGTGTGATTGGTTGAGTGTGTCAGCTGACTGCTTTTAGCCTATCAGAAGTCCAACTCATAGTATGATGTTTATGACAACAAGGAAGTGTGTAATCTCTGCCCTAGCAACACTGCCAGAAGGGGCCTGACTGTGGATGGTCAAGGACTCTTATTTAGTGTTAAACTCCTCTAAAATGGTTTTAAACTGAATGGAGGGACAGTGCCTGGGGACTCAAGAAACTATAACCAATTCAAAGAGTTGAAATGGTTATAGTGAGGACAGTGTCCCTTTAATAACCAATATTTGCCTTGACAAGTCCTAACTTAGGACCCCTTACCAACACCTCCTCACCCCATTTACTTGCCTTTTACTCCAACACAATTTTAGTATTATTTCAATATCTTTTTTACCCTTTCTGTAATATCTACTTGCTTTACTCAAATGTCTCTCCCAAATTTTGACATCTTATTTAAGAAGTTTATTTTATTTTCACTGATGGATTTGCTTTTCTTTAACTAGAGGTTGTTATTACTATTCTCTATACTTATGTCTTTGTTTACCTTCTTCCTTTCTATTTAAGTACACTATCGAAAAATCTTGTTATAATATTTACAAAAATGTAAAATTTATATTTTATATATCTCTGCGTATGTATTTATTTATTTCTTCATGTCTGTGTGTACATCATTTGTTCTGACACAGCTACATTTTCACCAACTATAAAGTAAATGTATATTCATGTCAGCTCTGATGGATGCAATATTGTGCAATGAGTTGCAGAGGAATATGTAATCAAACAGGGATTATGTACAAGTGACACAGTATATCCATCAACAAACACCAACAATCCTTATTAGCATATAAAATCCCTGTTCATAAAACACGTATTTCCATAGTTTATTAATACAACTTTTCTTAAAATTGTGCTGATATTCAGAAGCAGCTATGCAGTAGAAGGAAAGTCCCATGTAGGCAAACACAATAGCAATCCTAAAAATCCAAGGGGTATTATTTAAATTCTTTCTCATACTGATGACTCTGATTTTACATATTAAATAAATAGGATCTAAAAAGTAGCATTGAAAGCAATAAGTAGATTTATTATATGTGTAAATAAATAACAAGAACAATGTAAATTAAGCATTTTTTGCTTCAGTATGATTAATAATATTTCATCAAATGTACTTCTGGCTCTTATGCTATTTTGTTTTTAAATACTGCAATGAATATATATCACATAAAAAAGTGAATATTTCTTTGTGAGCACTTGGCTTTTATTGAAATACTTGTGTTTGAGCCATGATTCTTTCATTTTTCTTCTTTTCTTATTTGTCTTGGATGTGTCTGGACATTAAGGCATTCTGCTTAAAAAACAGCTTTTCCCTTTTTGCTGTTGGCAACGATAACCGAGTAGCATCTAGCGAGACTTTGAACCTTATCAGTGGAGAAATCACTTTCAGACCTGAATTTCTTAAAAGAAAATTCCGCATCTCCCATAACACCCAATTTATAATAAGGGAGACAGGATTTATTGTACTCCTGGTGTTCCTGCTTTAGGTCATTTGCATACTTTCCAAGACCGGCTAATCGTACAAGGTTCAGATGTGGGATTTACCTCATTGCACAGAAAATCTTGCACTTAACTAATGGGTTTCTCTGGAAGTGGTAGTAAGTTATCACATCATGTTGATGGTTTTATTTATTCATTGTTGTATGATGTTGCTAGTGTTTATCCGCTGTTTTCTCAGCAACATACGCATAAAAGGTTCCACATATGTTACACCTCGAGAAGAAATGGTTCTAGAATTCAAAAAACCTTCATAGTTATTTAGAGTGATAGAACCCAGCAGATGAGTGTGACCCAGCACTGGAGGTCAGCTAAGTGCAGACTAGAATTAAAGCCAATAAAAGCTGTTCTCACTGCATTGCCCTGGGCCACTGGCCTGTTATGGAAATTTGGAGAATTAAAAAGCCCCTGTCTCTCTCTGTGGCTTGGGAAAAGGTGTGAGATTTAGGTTCTTCTCAGTTACACAACACACGGCCTCAGGAAGGAGATCATCTGTTCTTGATCATATATTCAAGTCACCACACAGGGCTAGATAGCAGAGATCCAAAAAGTAGGCAAATGCTCAGACCCGATTCCCTTCATGTATCATCAAGGATGACTCTTTCTCACAGAAAAGAAAACCAAGAAGAGAGCTTCTTTAATGCACTGAGGGTGGATGATACATTGGAGGAGAATGAGAAAAATTGGAGAACACATTAAGGGGAGGTACTTGAAGAAGAATATGACATTAAGTGGAGCAGGAGGCATGTGGGGTGTTGAGATATTGAGTTGAATAGGAGATCCTTTGTAGTAATTTAGACTTTGAGTGCAGCATAGAAATATTGGGAAGGTCGAGATACTGGGTGAGAAGAACAAATTGCAGGCAGTTAAGTCTGAAAGGAGAGAAATAATTTGGAATAGAAGGAAACATAAGTGAGAAAAAAAGATTGAGAGGAGAATGATTAATGAAGGGAAGGACATGTAGGGGAGAGGTAAATTGGGGTAAAGAACTTGACAAAAAGAAATTGGGGAAAAGATAAAAGAGGAAAAACAGGGCAAGCATAAAAATAACAGAGAAATAAAAAAAATAAAGGACAACTGGGAAATTATATAAAATATATCATTCAGATGTCACAAATTAACCACATTTGGTTGGGCCTGCATATAGGGTATATTGACTAAAGTAGAACTTTTCTGCCAATATTTATATAAAACTCAGTTGAGTCTGTGCTTGAAACAATACCACATTTGCACTAACCCTGCAGGGCTAGGTATAGGGGGAAAATACAAACACTTTCTTTGAAGATATTGCTAATTTAAAAGTTTTTTTACTAGTAATTTGTATGGTAAATGGTACTTTTAATTTTTTTAAATACTGAGCGCTGGGATAGAAACGACAATTATACAAAACAAAAGAATACAAGAAAAGAATGACAGCTGGTTGGAAAGCTCTTGTGAAACCTTACAAATTACCTTTTCCAGTTTAACTTTGCTTGACCCGAGCTGGAACGAGGAAGCAGGCCCAACGGCATGTTAAAACATATGTATAATATGTCTATATTCGGTGTAAAATTTCACATATGTGGAAACCTAACTTAATTATAATCCTCAAGACCTTTGCATTTGTCAAATATTGGTGCAAAGTGCCATAAATATTTCTGTTAGAGGATTTAGTAAATTAATTAATAATTTGACAAAGTGCCGCAACTCCATCACCCTAAGTAATGATCTTGTAAATCGAGTTCCGAAGTTCAGATAGCAGATGCTTAGTCACAAGATATCCGTATAATAAATATATGTCTTGCACGTGCTTCTTTTGTTATGTTCCCCAAAACAGACGTGCCTGCCAGATATATTACCAAGAATACATAGCCTATAACAGAATTTGGGAGAATCAGTTTTAGGATATAACCAAAATAGTCAATCTGCAATGTATTATGATATCATTAAGTGGTTTGACATTGGCTTGAATTGAAGATATAGTTTTTAAAGATGTCGGGAAGCTGGTGTTCCATGCTAAATTTCTAAGAAATCTCACTTCATCTTGCAGCATTTCAGGTCGCTTGGCATCATGTGAGTTGCAGAACACAACATTCAGAATGGCAAGATGATCCCTTCCTCTGCTATTGTCTTCCTTTCTTTAATAGACCATACCATCCAAGAATTGAACTCCCTGCTTGACCCTCTCCAATCTAGTTTCAGGTTTCACACTCAATGAAACTCTTCTAAATAAGATGACCAATGACTTGCTTGCCACTAAATCTAAAGAGCACTATTCTTTATTACCCTTTCTCAATCACATTCTTCTTCTTCACACTCTTCCCAATCAGGGTCTACGTAATACTGACCTTTTATGGGCTTTTTTTCCTACTTTTTCCTGCACTCTGTGTGTCTCTCTAGCACCTGCTCCCCTTCACTACTTATTTCTGTTTGTGAGAAATTGCTATATGTACTTTCTGAACACTATTTTTTTTTTTTTAATTCTTTATTTTTGAAGTGCATGGAAATATAACAAGTGGGCTCGTCATGCCCCAATAGTATTGACAAGTATCTAATAAAGCATTCGTTAACAGTTGGTAAGCATGTGAGAAGACAGCACAGTTTTTATAGATAAGCATATATCGTTTAAGTGTTCCTATCTAGACGCTCAGTACATATGTTGACCGGGACTTTCTAAGTATGCAGGATGTAAAATTACAGTCTAATAGAGAGCAAGTGCTTGCTACAGGGAAGATAAGCCTGGCGGCATGGGATGCCTCTCTATGTGTAAGACAGATTGATATATAACAGAATGCAAGGAAATTACATAGGCTGAAAACGTATTCTGATCGAATTGCATAAGCTAGTGTCTGCTGAGTGAATATCACTGGGACTCCACACCCATTACTGCTAGTGGTAAAACATGTGAGGGCAAGTAGATACGTTCGTTAGCGTCAGGACTCATGCCACAAAAAGAAAAAGGAGAGAACGCTGAAGACAATCAGAAAGTACATCATTCTAGCATTAGTTTAGAGTTAATTATTGTCGGGTCGTCCCTTGATTTAGCGGGTGGTTGGTATCTGGTAGGCAAGCTGTCCCCTGCTCGGAGGTTCTTCGCCCTACTTCCTGTCTGGGCATTGCATCAAAATGGTTATTAAGTCCTCTAGAGGGAGACCTGTGGTGTTTCGTGCATGAGGTACCCCTTAGCTCACCAGGCGCTGCCCGAGGTCCTGTAGGTGGTTGTTTGATTTCTCGTAGGGTTGTGGTCTCCCGTGATGGTAAGTTGCGTTTGGGTGCTTTTCCCAGTTGGGACTGTGATTCAGGGTGGTTGCTGGGTCGTGTCCGGCGGGTTCTTCGGCGCCGTGTTTGCTTACATGTCCTCTGTTTCCTCACCCCTAGTGGCAAAGCCGATCACGGGCCACAACATTAAAACCACTGACAAGTGAATTTAAAAATATTGATTATATTGTTACAATGGTACCAGTCAAGGATATATTAGGCAGCAAGTGAACAGTCCGCTTTTGAATTTTATGTTTTGGAAGCAGGAAAAAAGGGCAAGCAAAAAGAATCTGAATGACTTTGACAAGGGCCAAGTAGTGATGGTTAGACAACTGGGTCAGAGCACCTCCAAAACGACAAGTCTTGTACAGTGTTCCCGGGTTTGCAGTGGTTAGGACCTACCAAAAGTGGTGCAAGGAAGAACAAAAAGTGAACCAGCATAAGCATGGTCATGGGTGCCCAAGCTTCATTAATCAATGCTCATGGGGAGAGAAGGCTAAATTTTCTGGTCCAATCACACAGAAGAGCTACTGTATCTCAAATTGCTAAAAATGTAATGCTGTCCATTAAAGAAAGGAGTCAGAACACAGTGCATTACAGTTTGTTGCATATGTGCAGCCGCATATCGATCATGGTGCCCATGATGACCCCTGTCAACTGCTGAAAATCGCTTCAATGAGGACGTGAGCATCAGAAGAGGAGCATGGAGCAATGGAAGAAGTTTGCCTGGTCTGATAAATCATGTTGGTTTTTTTCTGGATTGGTTGCTGGGTGCATGTGTCGTCACTATTTACCTAGGGAAGAGTTGGCAGCACCATCCACTATCGGAAGAAGGCATGCTGGTGGAGGCAGAGTTGCTCATGACAATGTTCTGCTGGAAAAACTTGGGACCTGGCATTCATGTGCAAAAGTTATAAAAAAGTTAAACATATACTGTTTACAGACTATGCTGTTAATACATATGCAATCCATGTTTAATTTTTACTGGAATGACCCTAACACTAACTTTTGTGTAACTTTACCTTGTTTACTTTTGATTGTATGCTTGTTTAAGCAAGGTTCACTACCTCTTGTAAGTCAAACTTAGGACAGCACAGGGTACCGTTTAGGATGTACAAGGGCAGTCTTGCAAGGCATTTATGGATTGGTTAATTATGTTTCAAAGAAAGTATGAATTATTGCAACTTACCACCCCTCTTCCTTTTTAGCTCAGTGCAGCAGGGTGAGAATCTTCTGTCCACCCTCCCTTCTCCTTATTCTCCTCCTTCTTCTAACTCCTAGTTTATTTATGCTCTTTCTTCTCCTTTTTTTCTATTTTCTCCTTCTTTTCTTTGGTTGTAGTGTTTGTATATTACCCTGTGACATAGTCAGTCTTCGCACTGGCTCCCTATATTATCCCATACCACAGTCAGTCCTCACACTGGCCCCCTATATTACCCCATACCACAGCCAGTCCTCACACTGGCCCCCGTATATTACCCCATACCACAGCCAGTCCTCGCACTGGCTCCCTATATTACCCCATACCACAGTCAGTCCTCGCACTGGCTCCCTATATTACCCCATACCACAGTCAGTCCTCGCACTGGCTCCCTATATTACCCCATACCACAGTCAGTCCTCGCACTGGCTCCCTATATTACCCCATACCACAGTCAGTCCTCACACTGGTCCCCGTATATTACCCCATACCACAGTCAGTCCTCGCACTGGCTCCCTATATTACACCATAGCACAGTCAGTCCTCGCACTGGCTCCCTATATTACCCCATACCACAGTCAGTCCTCGCACTGGCTTCCTATATTACCCCATACCACAGTCAGTCCTCGCACTGGCTCCCTATATTACCCCATACCACAGTCAGTCCTCGCACTGGCTCCCTATATTACCCCATACCACAGTCAGTCCTCACACTGACCCCCTATATTACCCCATACCACAGTCAGTCCTTGCACTGGCCCCCTATATTACCCCATACCACAGTCAGTCCTCACACTGGCCCCCGTATATTACCCCATACCACAGTCAGTCCTCGCACTGGCTCCCTATATTACCCCATACCACAGTCAGTCCTCGCACTGGCCCCCTATATTACCCCATACCACAGTCAGTCCTCGCACTGGCTCCCTATATTACCCCATACCACAGTCAGTCCTCGCACTGGCTCCCTATATTACCCTATACCATAGTCAGTCCTTGCACTGGCTCCCTATATTACTCCATACAATAGTGATAGAGTTTGTGTGTTCTTTTGCAGTTATTGTCACAGCCGCAGAAGGTACTCGGGCCAGTGCCTGGATTAAAAAGGTAATTAGAGACCAAACATCGTTAGATGGGGCTCCTGCCAGGTAATCATGCAGGAACTAAATGGTGAGATAGCTCAGTGGGCTGATGCTTTGTCAGATCAATAAAGCCCTCGAGGGGGGTCACAGGTTCAATTCCCCTCCAGGGTTGACTCATCCCTTTGAGGTAGAGAAAATTAGTACCATTAAATTAGGGATAAGAAATATCCCCCAATGCTCTTGAACATTTCTGAATGTTTCTGTCTTGCTAATGCAGTAAAGGAGTTTAAGCATGCATGGGGTAGGCTATCATAACTAAAAGATAAGGCTAGGGACTGAAAGTATTTAGAAAACTGGGCAGACTAGATGGGCCAAATGGTTCTTATGTGCCATCACATTCTATGGAACCAAACTCTGATGAATAATATCTGCCTTTCAGCCGGCAGTGGAAGTTAATGGTAATTGTGCTGAAATGTTAACTAAAGCTGTGGCCAAACCCTTTCCCCTCATAATGTTTTTATTTCAAGGTGGGGAGAGGGTTTGGGTGGATTATTTGTTTGTTCCCATGCGCTTTCACAGTCATATTGTTAAATTTACTGGTGAACTTACTAGACAGTACCATGGAAACGGCTTGCACTTTATAAACAATAATCAGAATTATACCCTTCTCCCCAGGTTCTCTATTCTCTTGACACATGCATTTTGTTTCTTACCTTTAGGGGTTAGTACTCTTTGGTGGGAGGGAGGGCAGCTAATAAAAATCAGTAGTAGTAGTATTTTATAGACATGTGCAATTCATTTTGGTCCGAATTTAAATTCGAATTTGGACATTCGAATGCTTCCGAATGTCTGAATTGGTGAAGTGCCGAATTGCCGAAGTGCCGAATTGCCGAATTGCTGAAGTGCCGAATTTTGGAAGTGGCTTTCTGAAAAGTGGCAAAACAGGAGAGGGATGGAATATTAAGGTAATGATGACCCTAACCCTAACCTTTACCCCAACCTTCCTCTAACCCTACCCCTAATGATACCCCTAGCCCTAACATGGTAGGGATAGGATTAGGGGTAGAGTTAGGTTTAGGGGTGAGGTTAGGGTTAGGGGTAGGATTAGGGGTAGGGTTAGGTTTAGGGGTGAGGTTAGGGTTAGGGGTAGAGGTAGGGTTAGGGTTAGGTTTAGGGGTGAGGTTAGGGTTAGGGTTAAAGAAGTTCCAAATTCCGGAAGTGCCGAAGTCCCGAATTGGCAGGGATATAATGTTTAATTAGTGGGGTAATAGCTGCTTGATCCAAAGAGACATCTGACTGCTATTTTAAGGGTCAAAAAGGATTTCTTAGTTTATTGCAAAATTGGAAACGCTTCATACTGGGTTTTTTGCCTTCTTTTGGATCAACAGCAAAAACATATGTGAGGAAGGCTAAACTTGATGGACGCAAGTATAGCTACACTTATGTAATTCTATTTTTACAGATATTATTTAGTAAGATAAAATCAGTAACTCTTACCGTAACTATAAAATACTAGGGATGTGCATGGGCAAATAATTCGGTTCGGCACTCCCGAAATTTGGGACTTTAGCAATTCGGAAATTTGGGACTTCGGCACTTCAGTTCGGTTCGGGAAATTCAGGACTTCGGCAATTCCTGAATTTCCGGAACCGAACTGAAGTGCCGAAGTCCCAAATTTCGGGAGTGCCAAACCGAATTATTTGCCCATGCACATCCCTAGTATTTTAGCTGAAAAGATACTTGCGTCCATCAAGTTTAGCCTTCCTCACATATGTTTTTGCTGTTGATCCAAAAGAAGGCAAAAGACCCAGTATGAAGCATTTCCAATTTTGCAATAAACTAAGAAAAAAAATCCTTTTTGACCCTTAAAATAGCAGTCAGATGTCTCTTTGGATCAAGCAGCTATTACCCCACTAATTAAACATTATATCCCTGCATGTTATGTTTTTGGAAGTATTCATCAGATTGCTGTTTAAACATCTGTATGGACTCTGATAAAACCAGTTGTATACTTAGTAATGTAGTATTTAGATGGTTAATATGACAGTGTTTTTTATTAAATCTAAGACTATACATTATTTTTCACACATATATATATTACATTATCTGATAACAAGCCGGGTCAGGATAACAGATAGTCAGAGAATGTATAACAAGCCGGGTCAGGATAACAGATAGTCAGAGAACATATAACAAGTCAGGTTAGGATAACAGATAGCCAGAGAATGTATAACAAGCCGGGTCAGGATAACACATAGTCAGATAATGTATAACAAGCCTGGTTAGGATAACAGATAGTCAGAGAATGTATAACAAGCCTGGTCAAAATAACAGATAGCCAGAGAACGTATAACAAGCCGGGTCAGGATAACAGATACTCAGAGAATGTATAACAAGCCTGGTCAGCATAACAGATAGTTAGAGAATGTATAACAAGCCGGGTCAGGATAACAGATAGCCAGAGAACGTATAACAAGCCTTGTCAGGATAACAGATAGCCAGAGAACGTATAACAAGCCTTGTCAGGATAACAGATAGTCAGAGAACGTTTAACAAGCCTGGTCAGGAATACAGATAGTCAGAGAACGTATAACAAGCCAGGTCAGGATGACAGATAGTCAGAGAACGTATAACAAGCCTGGTCAGGATAACAGATAGTCAGAGAACGTATAACAAGCCAGGTCAGGATGACAGATAGTCAGAGAACGTATAACAAGCCGGGTCAGGAATACAGACAGTCAGAGAACGTATAACAAGCTGGGTCAGGAATACAGATAGCCAGAGAACGTATAACAAGCCGGGTCAGGAACACAGACAGTCAGAGAACGTATAACAAGCCGGGTCAGGAATACAGATAGTCAGAGAACATATAACAAGCTGGGTCAGGAATACAGACAGTCAGAGAATGTATAACAAGCTGGGTCAGGAATACAGACAGTCAGAGAACGTATAGCAAGCCAGGTCAAGATAACAGATAGTCAGAGAATGTATAAGAAGCCTGGTCAGGATAACAGATAGTCAGTCAGAGAACTTCTAACAAGCCGGGTCAGGATAACAAATAGTCAGAGAACGTATAATAAGCCTGGTACGGATTCAGATAGTCAAAGAACGTATAAGGAGCCAGGTCAAGATAACAGATAGTCAGATAATGTATAACAAGCCTGGTTAGGATAACAGATAGTCAGATAATGTATAACAAGCCTGGTTAGGATAACAGATAGTCAGATAATGTATAACAAGCCTGGTTAGGATAACAGATAGTCAGATAATGTATAACAAGCCTGGTTAGGATAACAGATAGTCAGAGAATGTATAACAAGCCTGGTCAAAATAACAGATAGTCAGAGAACGTATAACAAGCCAGGTCAGGATAACAGATGTACTCAAAATTCCTATAAACTAGCCGAGGTCAAAACCAGAACATAAACAGAAAACTCAAGAAACACACTAATCAGGAACTAATGTAGGAAACGAAACAGGGCACGGAACGAAGGTCAAAATAGGATTAAATATGGTAACCTAGACTCTGAATGGTCCATGTCACTGTTGTGACCAAAAAAAGTGTAGAAATGAGGTTGCCTGGGTGACCTGAATAAATCCCGAATCGTAAGTGTTGTACCATGACCATGCCAATTTAGCATTTAAGGACGCGCCCTAACAGTGGGCAGCATCCGAATTGTTATACAGAGGTCACACAACCAAATGGTGCATTAAACGTGTGTGACCTGCAAAAAACAAGGGACCCACCTACCCAAACCGACATATAATAATAATAATATATATCCACACCGTTTGAGGAGGTGGAAATTAAACAAGCCATACGCCAGTTGCCCATACATAAGGCACCGGGTCCTGATGGCTACGCAAACAAATATTACCAAACATATGTAGATCCCCTTGCCCCACACCTGATGGCACTATTCAACACCTGCTATTCGAAGGGTCAAATGCTGAGTGACATGCTGACAGCTCACATTTCCACACTTCCCAAACCAGGGAAAGATCTCACCCAATGTCAGAATTTCAGACCCATCTCGCTGCTAAACGGCAACGTAAAGCTTTACGCAAAACTTCTGGCAAACCGTTTGTCTACAATCCTCCCACAAAATGACCAATCTGGTTTCGTTAAACACAGACAAGGATCTGACAACACCAGAAAGCTACTAAACATTTTATCCCATATGAACTCAGAACGTAGCGGAGGCCTCCTCCTCACCTTAGACACGAGAAGGCCTTTGATAGACTGAAATGGACCTATATGTCTCAAGTTTTGTTACATTATGGTTTCCACCCGCTGGAGAAGCGTGGAAACAGAGGGCCACATGACGCACATATGGTGGAGTTGGAAAGACCTCCAACCACTATGGAAAGCGGTAAACAATATTTTACTACCAGTAGACCCTGACCTACCACCCTTAAACATACAATCAGAACTGTTCCTGATGCTACCCAGGAACATACCTGCCAAACGCAGACAACCGTTTCTGCTCACCATTCTAGCAGCTAGGAACCAAATAGCCACACACTGGAAGCAGCCTAAATGCCCACCTACACCACAATTACTAGATAAACTTAAACAATACTATTTATACGAAAAAATGTCTATCTTATCCACCAAACACGCTGCAGCCTTTGACATAATATGAAAGTCATGGAAAGAAAAAGGGTTTCTTGGGTAGGTGTAACCTGGGAAGACTGTACTAAAACCACTTAATGTGCAACTGCGTGTATATAACACCCCACAATGTGCCTCATACATCTCTCAGATTAGTACCCGATGTGTTAGATAGCTCGATCATGGCTTATGTATTGTGTCTTGAATATGTGTAACCACATGCACCCCATCCCCTCTCCCTTTTTTTTCCTTTTATACCCCCTCCCCCATTTTTACACCTCATTTGCATACACTGACACACTAATATACATTCCAACAAAAACAAAATACCCTGCACTCAGGTCCTGCACATATGCTCCGGCCTTCCACCAAGGGGCGCTCTGTGTATAGGATGGACACTGCTGAATCCACCAATGTAGTATCTCTTCTTTGACACTAATATACAGTGACATTCACAAATTATGACGCTACACAAAAATTCATCCCTACATTGACACTTACATTCTGGACCAGATACACCACTGCATTAATATACATGCTGTACGCAAACATACGTTCCTGCATTAACACACTTACATGCACATGTGCCAGGTTATACACCGTAAAAATGGCACTGTACTTATTATGGTGCCAGGAGTGCCGTGCCCAGCACATTGAGAGTGTCTGCCCATGAGCTAAGCCCTGAACCATAAGTCTTTACTCAGTGGAGAAAGCTTCCGGGAATTTTGGCTTCTGTACAAGCTATATGCATATCTTTATGCTTATATGTGCGCTCGGCTGTGACTGTTTAACTGTGACTCCATGTGTTCATGAGTTTTTCAATATCTGACTTTGTAAGAGTGTGTCGCTCTAGAAACATGTCTTCAGATCTGTGCCACTATACATGTTGCACAAGTATGTGTTTTACTGCACGTATGTGTATGGATTAACTGATTATATTAAAGCCCTATTAAAGCACTCTATATGGGGTATTACATGTTGGCTTTTTTTAAAGGAACACTCTCATCCCAAATCAATTTAATCTCATTTAAGTTGTTGTCGGGACAGGAGTGTCCGAGCAACCATTTTACAAACTTTTAACCCTGAAGTTGGGGCTCATGTTTCTGGCACCTCTTCCTCTTGGCCTCCTTTCTGTATGTGCAGCAATATTAGGGAGTGTTAACTGGACAGCCGCTGATGGTAGGGTTTCTTTAAAACGCAGATTTTGGAAACAGATGAGGTTTTAAAAAAGATATGTGATATTGTGACAATAGTACAGATAAACTTTATTGTACGGAGGAACTAAAACATCATAGACAACGGGGAGCATAAAACTGGTAACATGTCACTCCATCTTCTATCTGTATTAACATTATACATTCTATCTGGGAGTCAAGTAATGATTAGTTTTTTGTCTGAGGTGCTTTATATGGAAGGGTTTGCTGAAATTCCTTTAACTTTGTATCAAACTAATTCAGACAGAATTACATTTTAGATCTATCTCCACATTTTTTATCTTTTAAGAAAATAAGAAACCAACAGTTCCAATTATTGTTTTTTATGTTGATAAATAGGCTGATGTCATGTATGTATTGAGTATGCCAGGATAAGTACATATTATTAGTTATATTTTATTCATTTTATATATTTGCTATACATTTTTTATTAGGTTAGGTTACATATTTGCTATATTTCGCTATAGTACTGACTTGAGCAATGTGTGCAAGAGATGTGCTGTCTAAGACATATTGTGCTTTTTTATTACTTTGTACTTTCACGTTTGTTTGGCCAAGGGGAGCATGGCATGGCTCCATAGGCGCCTGCTGTAAGGAAGATGGTGATGAGGCATTTTTAAACAGTGAAAGATTGGATTATTTTTCAGCTTCTGAGTAAGTTTGGCAGCTGTGAACAAAATGCATTGAGCAACCCATTAACCACAAAGTCTTCAGTGTTGGATTCTGCTCAAGTGCCCGTCAGTTCTATCTCTTTAAATAAGTGCCAGAGATCCAAAAAATACAAAGGAGGCACTTTATTATGAGAAGCTGCATCCGAAGAACTTAATCTGGTAGTGGAGATCAGTGCTGGAGACAGAACTTTGGCCAATGTGCTCATTTTATTTTAAGAGTATATTATGATAACTACTGCAATGCTGACACCAATCAGAAGACTCTCATGCAGATCTATGATTTTTCTTGCTACACCTTAAGACTCTGCAATTTCAGGTTAACCATAGTCTTATTTACAGTATTGCCAATGTGAATGTGCGTGCCAGCGCCACACATACAACTTGGAAGAATCTTGGATAAAAGTTTTAATTTGACATTGCTGGAAGAGGGGGCAGTTTTATAACTACTAGTTACAGTGATTTTTACCATTGCTAAAGTTATTAGGCAGTGTTCAGTGAGACAGTGACTGAGAACTATAAACTAGTTAATGTGCCTAGATTTTTCTGACATTTCAGGCCCAGACTGGCCATCAAGCAAATCGGCAAATGCCAGTTTGCCATGATGACCATGGGACGAGGTCGACAGAGTAGAAGATCTCCCTGCCACTTCCTACTGGGTTAGTGCTATCCAAGCGCAGACCTTGCTGTGTGCCTTCACAGCAGCTAGGGAGATAAAACATCTCCATCATTGGTTCAGAGCACCTTACAGTAGGAGAAGGGGGACCCAGGAGGCTCTGATCTAAAGTATGGCTAGGTGCAGAATATTCCTCCTCTTCACCCCAAATCAGGCAGTATCCCAAATAACAAATTCACACACACACACACTGCACCTCTTACACACAGTGGATACCCTACACACATGCACTAGATCCCCTGTAGACACACTGTGCACTACCTGCACTGCATTTCTGATACACACTAAGTCCCCTATAAACACTCTGGTACCTCAACACATACACTAGATGCCTTATAGACACACAGACATCATCAAATGTGGCTCAAAGGAAAGCATTCAATGTTTTCCCACAAGAAATATTTGATTGGACATGCGCATGTGCATTGGATTGGACGATCGCTGAAGAAGCAACACCTTCATGATGACGTTGTGGAGGCGGAGCGGGCAGCAGCATTAAAGAAAGCTTGGCATTGGAAACAAGTAAAACATTAACAAATTTTTTGTGGCTCCCTGGGTGTGCCCTATCTCT